ATATATATGTAGGAGAGTTTTAAGTGTAGCAGAGATAGACAAAAGCTGGTATCCAGTCCTTTCTATAGATCTCATTTTATTTGAAAAAGAGAAATCTATCCAGATTAAAAGAAAAGATTAGTTGGGCCATAAAACCATAAACGAACCTTGAGGGTTATTAGGATATTGGGGTAATAAAAAACCATGTGTGCAGTGTAGTGACCCTTTGAAGAATTTCCGATACCTGTGTAAACATAGGCGATGCCATAAAAGGTGTGACATTCCGATGTGCTAGATTAAGTTGCTGTATGCATAGTTCCCACTACCGAAAAACCATAGGCTGTACCTGTCGGTGGACTATGGGGTGGATCCTTATGCTATTGGTCAGTTAGATTTGTAAGCTTCTTCCCTCTCAAAAAGGGGTGTAGGGGATTTCTGATATAAAAGACATGGAAAGGAATAAGAGGAGAGTCTCGGTGGTAGAAGGGATGGAGTGTCAGTCGTAGAAGTAGAACAGTAGCAGTCGTAGCCGTAGTTAGATATCAGTTGTAACAGTCGCAGTTGTATCAGTTGTAACAGTCGCAGTTGTATCAGTTGTAACAGTCATAAGAATTCAGTCGCTCATCTAAGTTGTAACCGTAAGATTGTGAAATTAATATTGTACCTTTTCTAATACCTGTTTTAAATAAATCTTATTAGTAGGATTAAACTGGGTGTATGTTCACCTCGCACCTCTCACCCTAAATTAAAATCCCTACATATATATATATATATATATATATATATGCAATATGTAAATTTGTGTGTTAATAAAATTAATACAATGATAATGGAAATGACATTTTTAGTTTTAACCATTACATTTAATTTTTATTTATAATAAACTCATATGTGTGTAATCGTATTATTTGTTACGATGTCATATCAATTTTATAAACAACAATATTATAATAATATTTCAAGTTAATTATCTTTTTCTTTCTCTCTTTTTTTTTTTTTACTGTTAATTAAATCATGAAATATATAATAGACAAGTATGTAAAATAATTCTATTTTAGTTGTAAACAATTATAATATTATGTACGATTAATATACAAGTGTGTTGATCTATAATATTCGCAATAATAATTTTTGATTAGCAACAAATTACAAACAATAATTGTATTCTTCCTTTTTACGCAACCTAAATTTGTATTTTATCGATTACTTTGTTTTATTTTACATTTTTTATATTTTGTAAAATTAGTATTAAGTATATATATATATATATATATATCTTCGATAATTATAGTTCATTGATCACCTTAGTCAAAATTAATTCACACACGTATGTATATTTAATTAATTAATATCTAATTAATAATTAACTAAACGAATTTTCGTATCTATTCGTTTTATTTTATTTTATTATATATATATATATATATTTTTTTTTTATTTATTATTAATTCATTCTCGCACACAATGATAAACAATATCACAGATACAATCGTAAATGTTCAAAGTTTCACACAATGAAAGGTAAAAATATAAAATATTCTTCGATGTAAACACTTGATTTGAAAATATATACGAGATTGTTCAGATAATTTCTATTAGATTTTTTGTTTTTTTTTTTTTCTATTCATTTTAGTCTAACTTTTTTCATCATGTTGAGAACACTGGCTCCAGGTAATGGACAGGTTGGATAAAAATTATGACAACCTTGTCCTTCAACGCCAGATATTAATTGACCCATGTGTGCTGCGAAATGATATCTCGATGGTACTTCGGCGATCGTGCTTAAACTCGTGTCTCTGGTAAAAACAAAAATCAAAAAGAAGACACAATGATTTGAATTATTAAAAAATTAAATATGATTATTATATAAAATTAGCAATGAAATCAAATAAACTGTTTATGTCAATATCAGTCAACTCACACGTACGTAAACGGAATTCTTTCACGTTATCGAACCCAAAAAAAAAAACATATTATGCAAAGTAGAAGTTTTTTATAATCATTTTTTTGATGCTTGCTAAGCATAAAAAAAAAAAAAATGTTTTCAATAATCAGACGAGTATTTTGAAAAATATTGAATAATTTATTATTATTCAAAAATTCATAATAATTCGAGAGTTGATTTTTGATAAATACTACAAAAATAAAATGATATTTTTTTCATTGATAGTTAATTATAATATTAATTGTAATATCATTCAATTTTTATAAATATTTCTTAATTAATATATATTATTAGAAAATATATTTCAAATAAATATTATATATATATATTATAATTAGATACACTAATATATTCATTATTAATAATATATATATATATATATTAGGTTATTAACTATGAAATGTCTGATTACTCGGATTATTTTCACATCAAAATCAAATATTTCATATTTAATGACCACATATATAAATATATTTATATTAAAAATTTATTTTGTTAATATATACACATAAATATAATTTAATTATTTATTTAATATATAACATTTATAATTATAATAAATAAAATTATATTATAATTCAATTATATATTATAGTATCATATAAATAATTCTATATATTTTAATATATAAAATTACAATGTAAATAAAATTATATTATAATTTATTATATTATAGTATTATATAAATAACTATATATATATATATATATATATTTTAATATATAAAATTGCAATAAATAAAATTATATTGTGTGTAGTTTTATTATAGTATAATATTATATTGTAATAAATAATATAATATTATTATATATAATAAAATAAAATTACAATTTTATTTTATATTAATAGAATAATTTTATATGTTATAATTTAAAAATATATATATATATATTTATTTATTATTTATTTTATATAAATTTTTATTATAAATTTATTTTTATAATATATAAAAATTATAATATATAAAAAACAATATATATATTATATAACTTTGGAGTTACTAATTTAAATTAATAATATAATAATAATATTAATATTATTATTATTGTATAATACTCATATATATAACACAGTATATATATATATATATATATATAATATACTGTATGAACAATTGAAATAATATCGAAGGTAGATTTAAATTTCAAGGCAATCCGTCTATAGAAAGGTATAGTCGAGCATAATAAAATGGGTTGAGAACCCATAATGTATAGGAGAACAGGCACAAGGCAAGTAGCCTTTTACTTTCGATATCGATGCCGTGTGCTTGGTAAACGTGAGCTATAAAGTCCGGTTACAACCAACAACAAAAAAGAAAAAAAAGAAAAAAAGGAAACGCTAGGAAGCTTTAACATTCGTGCCTTTCTCCGTGCTCAAGTTATATATACATATTTCCACAGATACACAAACATACACACACATCTATATATACATATGTATACTTCTATATAAATATATACATATATATATTAAGTAAATACTTATATTTGCATGGGAGAGAACTTCACATAAGAAATAAACTCACTTTACCAAAAATCAAATCTATTTATCAACTTGAATCATGCAATACTTGAAATTCAACTACTTTCACCGTTTCTTTTGTTAAAACACGTTTATATACTTTCGACGAATAATTTTGTAGAGTTTAAAATAAATACAAAAAAAAAGAAAAGAAAAGAAAAAAAAAAGTAACACTTACAAAATTCTTCTCTCAAGGAATATAAAATCACCTATATTTCTTACCGTTGAAAGATACTTGAATACATATATATATATGTGTGTGTGTATGAGTGTGTAAATGTAGAAAAGAACAAGATTTTCTAACTCAGCAATAGAGTCAGTGGATTTGATCGTGAGAAAAGATCGAAAAACGATTTGGAGAATAGTTATGCATAAGAGAAAAGTGTGAGAGAAAAGATGAAGGGTTGGTTGGTTAGTTGGGAGGGTGTAGAAAAGGTGGGTGGATAAGTTTTAAAGGAAAAAGATGAGTGGCAGTTTCGTTACGCATGGATCAACGAGGAAAACGTGATCTTCCTTATACTGCCACGTGAAAGAAAGAAAAAAAAAAACAAAAAGAAAAAGCATTTCTCTTACTATAAACCCTTCTTACTTTACGATCGCCCTTTATGTAGATTTTTTTTCTTTTTTTTTTCTATTTTTCTTTTGTTTGTTCCATATTCTTCCTTGAGAATTCTACTAGAAATTTTTGAAGTGAAAACTTCTTTAGAATGGGAGTGATTTAAAAAGTAAATAAATGGAAACGGAGCTATGTAACGAAACTATGAAACGGCTATTATACTAAATAATAAGAGAAAAAAAGACAAACATATAGGATTGAGCCTGCGAGGGAATGAGACGGAATGGAGCTATACAGTTTTTCTTATTCTCGGTCTCCTCTTTATACTATGCTTCGTACTTTTCGAAAAAAACCTCACTACTTTTCGGAAAAGTAGTGACTTATCCGACGAGACCCTACGGACTTATCCGACGAGACCCTACGGACTTATCCGACGAGACCCTAC